AGGGTGATGTCGCTCATGACGCCCTGCTTTGAATTAGGGAGGGGAATGTTAGTATTGGGACTGCTTTACAGCCACGCGGTGGAGGGAGAGGGGCAGCATACAGGGATCTTTCCCTGGGACAGCCGCGAGGGGGTGGGACAGGGGCAGAGTTGATGCTGTCCTGATTGCTGGCAGCAGAGACTGGCATTGCTTTCAATGTGAAAGGAGGCCAGTGCTACTGCTGGAGTTTTAAGCAGCCACAAGTCTGCGGCTTACCATTATTGCCCGCTCCAGAAGTTCAGGTCTCCAGCCACGCTTCTCAGATCACTCCAAGACCTCCGCAAGTCCACAGGCACTGAAGGCGACGGCCGAAAATTCGACCTTGTCCTGAGTGCGCATGTGAGAGGTGCAGTGCATGGTCTTGTTCACAGAGAAAGACTAGGTTCTTTGTATACAATTTCATTTATCTGTCTCAGGAATTCACTCCCTTTTTACAATTCACACAGACACATCTGCGACTGTCTCCCAACCCAGCCTGTCAGCACACTCCCAGAGGCTAGCGCAGATTAGGCGGAGGAAGAAGAAGACGCGTGAAGACATGTTCTCAGAACTAATGGGATGCTCCCGAGCCCAGGCAGCCCAGCAGACACAGTGGAGGGAGAACTTGTCACAAATGCACCGAGCAGTCATGGAACGGGAGGAGAGGTGGCGTCAGGAGGACCAACAGGCTACTGAAAAGCTGCTTGGACTAATGAGGGAGCAAACGGACACGCTCCGGCGCCTTGTGGATGTTCTGCAAGACCGGAGGCAGGAGGACAGAGCCCCGCTGCAGTCTATCTGTAACCGCCCTCACCCGCCACCAAGTCCCACACCACCCTCACCCAAACTCCAAAGAAGGAGGGGCGGCAAGGGCCGTTAAAACTTTCAGTCAACCCCTGCAGACTGCTCTAGCACTAGAAGGCTGACATTCCCCAAAATTTCATAAGTCCTTTCCTACCCACCTCACACAAGCCCCCGTCCAAGTTTCACCCCCCACGTTTCATGTCTGGTTCGCAATAAAATGTTTGTTTCTCTCCATTACTGTTTCAGTCAGGTTCTTTTGAGGGAGAGTCTGTCTGGAGGGGGGGAAGGGGCTTGGTAATTGGGCAGGACAGTGACCTTTAGCAGGGTACAGAGGCGGTGTCAGGTCCAGCATCAGGACACATACACAGTGCAGTCACTGGTTACCCTGGTCAGTCTGGGAGGTGTTTTTCATGTTCTCCATTGAAATAACCAGTCCACCAGTGCGGAGCCTGGCATTCCGGGAGTTTAGAAGCATCATTTGCATCAGAACACTGAACCCGCCCCCCGCCACAGTCTGCGTCCCCGGTTTAAAATATTCCCGCGAAAACAGCAACACAGACAACGGTGTTCATTAACAAAATCGAAATGATTTTATTTTTTGCGAAGGGGAAGGGGGTGAAGGGGGTATGTAACTGGAGAGGATAGTCAAAATGAACTGGGTAAAGAAACGGGGGCAGGTTCAGCTTTTCTGTCCACAAACTGAAAAGTCACTGGTTGCCCTGCTCACTCAGGAACCTAGCTTTCAAAGCCTCCCGGATGCACAGGGCGTCCCGCTGGGATCTTCTAATGGCCCGGCTGTCTGGCTGGACGTAATCAGCAGCCAGGCTATTTGCCTCAACCTCCCACCCCGCCATAAAGGTCTCCCCCTTGCTCTCACACAGATTGTGGAGCACACAGCAAGCTGCAATAACAATGGGGATATTGGTTTCACTGAGATCACAGCGAGTCAGTAAGCTTCTCCATCTCCCTTTGAGACGGCCAAAAGCACACTCCACTACCATTCTGCACTTGCTCAGCCGGTAGTTGAACAGTTCTTTTTCTGTGTCCAGGGCGCCAGTATAGGGCTTCATGAGCCAGGGCATTAGCGGGTAGGCTGGGTCCCCGAGGATGACTGTAGGCATCTCCACATCCCCAAGAGTTATTTTGTGGTCTGGGAAGTAAATACCTTCCTGCAGCCGTCTAAACAGACCAGAGTTCCTGAACACGCGAGCGTCATGAACCTTGCCCGGCCATCCGACGTAGATGTTTGTAAACCGTCCCCGATGGTCCACCAGTGCTTGCAGCACCATTGAAAAGTAGCCCTTTCTATTGATGTACTGGCTGGCCTGGTGGTCCGGTCCCAGGATAGGGATGTGAGTCCCATCGATAGCCCCACCGCAGTTTGGGAATCCCATCGCGGCAAAGCCATCTATGATGACCTGCGCGTTTCCCAGGGTCACTACCTTTGGGAGCAGTACCTTCACGATTGCCTTGGCTACTTGCATGACAACAACCCCCACGGTAGATTTGCCCACACCAAAGTGGTTCGCGACTGACCGGTAGCTGTCCGGCGTTGCAAGCTTCCAGAGGGCTATGGCCACTCGCTTCTGGACAGTGAGGGCTGCTCGCATGCGGGTGTCCTTGCGCTTCAGGGCAGGGGACAGCAACTCACAAAGTTCGAGGAAAGTCCCCTTCCGCATGCGAAAGTTTCGCAGCCACTGGGATTCATCCCAGACCTGAAGCACTATACGGTCCCACCAGTCCGTGCTTGTTTCCCGGGCCCAGAATCGCCGTTCAACAAAATCCACATGCCCCATTGCCACCGTGATGTCCTGGGCGCTGGGGCTCGTGGTTTCTGACAGCTCTGTGCCACTCTCCGACTTCAGGCTCTCACGGCGGTGCCGTAGCCTCCTCGCCCGATTTCTCTGCATCTGCCTCAGGGAAAGGTGTATGATAAGCTGCGAGGTGTTGAGAACGGCCACAAGTGCAGCGATGGTCGCAGCGTGATCCATGATCGCAGTGCTGTGGCGTCCGCGCTGTCACTGACCAGAAAAGTGCGCGAACTGATTTCCCGCCGGCGCTTTCATGGAGGGAGGGAGGGCGTTAGTGACGGACGGATGACGACAAATTTTTTTTACCCAGAATGCATTGGCGGCTCGACCCAGAATTCCGATGGGCAGCGGGGACTGCGGGAACTGTGGGATAGCTGCCCACAGTGCACCGCTTCCAATATCGACGCTCGCCCGTTAGTGTGGACTCACAAAGTCGAATTACTGTCCTTAGTGTGTCCTTAGTGTGGACACACACGTTCGACTTTGCAATATCGATTCCACATATTCGATTTAAGTAAAATCGAATTACCCTCGTAGTGTAGACATACCCTGAGAGGCGTCAGGATTGCTATCTGCCTGCAATCCTGGGCTCTCTGGGCTACTGCGTTTCATTTTCTGATGCCCTGCATGCTTCACAGCTGAGCCACACTTTACACCTGCAGGTGTCCAGCTCAAAGATAAGGGTGTGACCCTATGCCCCATATTCTTCATAGAGATATGCTTCTGATAAGAATATGGCATAACTAAGATATGTTTTATGCAAGATGGGTCATGTGAGGTTGTAACTGTGCCTTCGTGGGTCACAACTGAGAATACCAACTTCAGGACAAACTGCTGAGCAATAGGGCAGACACCCCCCACAAAACTGGGGGCTATTCTCCCATAAGATATACCAAACCAGCAATAAAAGTAAACTTCTGTTGCACCACACTGACTAACAAGAAGTCATAAAAGCAGTTTCCTTAGGCATTCCAGTCCTTGTATCACCACTAAAAACACTAGACTTTAAGACGAGCGGTTCTTTACAACCAATTTCATCAAATGAAAGGTGGTTCTGATCCCAAAGGATCAGCCACACACCCAGGTCAATATAGAACTCAGATCTTACCCAATAATCATGCCGTTGCCAATCCTTTAGTATCTAATATCTAAAGGTTTATTTATGGGCAGGTCTACACTACAGCAGGGATCGACGCTCTGAGATCAATTCACCGGTGGTCGA